CGTCGGTAAGGGTATTTCCGTATCCCCACTGACAGGAGAAGCGATGAATCCCTTGTGCCCTTCTGCCGCTAGTCTCTATGCGGCCCCGAGCAGGTGTTTAAGGTATAGGGTTCAGATGGTCCCTTTATTCCAAAGGCTTCAAAGAATTTAGGACCTGCTAGGGACCGGTTACTTTGGTCATCAATGATGGCATACATTTTTACTGCCTTTTCTGGTAGTCCCCTCTGGGTAGACCTTGATCAGGCATATTCGGGCACAACATTTCTCGCACTGGCCCTCCCCACATACATCCAAGCATGAGCAGGAAACAGCAGTCGCTGCATTAGCGTAATTTTGGGGCTCCCGCCATGACTTGGAGCAGGACTGGTGGTGATGGCAGTGGGTGAATCTCTGGAGAGTGGGATTGGGTGCATAGCTAGGGATGTCTTTCGCTATGACACTCCTCACACTTGATGACAGATTTACAGTCCTTAGCCATGTGCTCCAATGAAGCGCAGCATCTGAAACATACCCCAAGCTCGGTGAGGATTTTCTTGCGCTCCTGTATGGTTTTTTGGATCTAAACCCTCTACATTTGTTCAGAGAGTGTGTTTTTTATGAATGGGACATTCACGATTGAAAGTCTTATCTCCTGATGAGGTAGTGTACTGTTTACCCGTGGGTACTGCAGGAGATGGTAGGTTAGTCTTTCTAACACTCACGCTGCTCTTGAAGTCTCTGTGTTTATGCGTGATGCTTTCATACCTTGATGATGATGATGTTGCTGAAGCTGTAGTGTTGAGCTCCAGGAAGTCGAGGCTGGGATCATTCCTCATCTGGGACTGTTCATCGATAAACCTACAGAAGTGAATAAATGGGGGAAAGGTGATGTCATGCTCTCTTTTTGTACCTTGAGACTGATGCCGCCCACTTTTCTTGCAGACTGTATGGTAGCTTCACGACAATTGGGTTCACTCCATGAGCTGTATCCAGGTAGCACAGCCCGGACAGACGAGGGTCACCCTTGGCAAGCTCCAGTTCCATGAGCAGATCACTTAAATCTTGAAGCTTCTGGACATCCTTGAGATTGATCCTTGGAACGTTCTGCAGTCTCTTGAATAGGGCCTTCTCTATTGCTTCTGCACTGCCGAAGGTACGTTCAAGTCTCTGCCAGGCGGCAGCGAGACCTGCTTCTGCTTGTCCCATGTAGACAGTTCTGAGGCTCTTGACGCGATTTGTGGAGCCTGGGCCCAGCCATTTGATCAAGAGGTCAAACTCCTGCTCTGCGGTTAGGTTGAGGTTAGCGATGGCGGCCTTGAAGGTTGCCTTCCAAGCTCTGTAGCTCTCTGCACGGTCATCAAATTTTGAGAGACTGGTGTTGATTAGCTCTCTGCTCACCATAAACCTGGCAAACTCAGACATATCTGATTTCTCACTGCTTGTTGCCATGACGACTTGTGATGCCCCTGGGGCGTATGGGCTGCCTGGCGTGAAAGGGTGAGATGCTTCCGGGTAGAATGATGTAGCTGCAGGGTTAAGCTTTCGTTTAGCCTCTGTATATTGTGATGACTGCTGCTTGAGCTGTGGAGGTAGGCCAGAAAACGCCTGATAGCGATCTTTCTGTAACAACCGTCTTTGAGAGGGCACATCCGGGTAACGGTTATTAGGTTGCTCGGGTGCTGTGGGTGGCACTGGTACCGCAGGTAGAGCTGACTTGGAGGTTTCAGTGTTGTCGGCTTGGACGGTACTACAAACTGGGGGTGGCGCAGATAACTGATTCAGTACATAGTCACTGGTGCGATCAACTGGATCATCTATCTCCTGTGGTAGCGAGCAGACTGGATCAAGACCTTGGCTCAATGCTTGCTCGAGTAATCTTACTTTAGCTAATGCAATTTCCTCCTGCATCTCTGATTCGAAAATCTTTATTCGAGCCTCTGCTTCCGCTTCTGCCCTCTTGGCCTCTGCTTCTGCCTGTGCCCTCTTGGCCTCTGCCTCTGCTTCTGCCCTCTTGACATCTGCCTCTGCTTCTGCCCTCTTGGCCTCTGCCTCTGCTTCTGCCCTCTTGACCTCTGCCTCTGCTTCTGCCCTCTTGGCCTCTGCCTCTGCTTCTGCCCTCTTGGCCTCTGCCTCTGCTCTTGCAAGAGCTTCCTTTTCTGTGAAGGAGCGTCTCGCTTTGGATTGCTCTGCGTTTATGCGGGCCTCTAGTAATCTGTCGCTCAAGGCTGAGCTTCTTGAGCACGATGATTTGTATGACCGAGAGGAATGTTTAGATGAATTTGATCTGTGTGATCTAGTTTCTTGCAAATGAGAGATACGGAGTTCCGCTTTACCTTTAACATCCAGCACCATGACGTCTCTTTGTCTGGCTATTGATTCTGCCTTGCTCAGTTCTGATAGGGCTTCATCGATATTGGAGTCTTTAGAAAGGTTATATACCTTGTGGACAGTCTCTTGTATCTTTCTTGAGCTGTGTCCAGCCGCCCGATGGCAACTTGTAAGCTTGTGGCATCACCTGAGGAGGATTTAAGTCCGGACATGAGGGAGGAAACTCGTTCCCATTGCTCCTCCAGGTTATCACATAGCTCATCTTTCGTGGTGTGATAATTTTCAGTGACCTTTACCGTCGGTTTGAGAGAGCGTCTTGGTCGCACGACTTGTTCTGCTGGAAGTGTGGATTCTGTTCCCTGCCCTTCATGATGATCAGTATCAGGTTGCATTTGCTTTATTTCATCACTGGGGAACTGTGCAAAGTCCTTTTCGGCCATTTTGACTTAAGGTGCGCTGTCTCTTTAAGAAAATGAACTTTTGAATTGGGGGCTGAAAATCGCAGTACAGCTCCGATAGGGCACCTTGACAAAATTTCTAAGATATTTAGAATGAATTGCGGGGTTTTGCGGCGGCCACGGCAGTGTAAGGAACGTGCATAAACAGTACTTCTATTATGCGAGCAAAAGTTAATATAGGACTTTAGGAATGGCTTGGAGGACTTCCAGGCGAGAGTATAGATACTGCGTATGTGCAGTGCTTCCGCATAGGCTTGTGGAACATGCACTGTAGCCGGGCAGATTTGCTGCAAGTGGGCCTGTTGCTAGGGAGATTCCTGAGTGTGGTACTGGACTCTGAGGGAATCTGTAGCGGGGTATGGACTTTAAGGCAGTTTTTGACTGTTCTGTCCCCACATGAAGGAGAATGAAGGTATAACTGACAATAGCTGTGTAACTTCCTACCTTCGTATCCAGGCAGTGGAGCAGACCGGACCGGCAGATGCTCAGGTTAGATGGATCCAAACGTATACATGAGAATGAAATCAGCGTGGGTTTATTTGGTCCAAAATACAGCGACAAACAGTGATACAATACTGTAAGGTAGTAGAGGTATTGATGCTGTCCTGAGGCTAACTGCTGGTCAAAAACTGATGCCTTCACAAGCCCAGGGTATTGAATGTCCTGTCACACAGCTATATAGCAGATAAAATGGCTGCAGGAAGTGACCAGGACCAAGGCTTGCCTAAAACCACGCCCAGCAGAGGAAAAACTTACTAGCTATAACAGAGGCATGCAGCATGCAAATTCTGGCCAGCAGATGGCAGCAACAGATCAAGACATAGAAACAAACATGGTGAAATAAGAATTGGTGATACAATGCACAGTTAAATAACAAATATGAGGGGAACAGCACATTAAAACCCTAGCCAGGCTTATCCACGTCACTAAAACCTTCCGGAGGGAAACCAATAGCGATCAGGTCAGAAGGTGGGAAAGTTTCCATGAACAGGTCAATCTAGAAGAACTTTCTCAGGCAAAGTCTGTTATAATTTCTTCTGTTCAAAACAAACATTTCCAGAAGGCAATTGACTGCATCACAAAACAAAAGACATTCCCAATACAAAGCCGTCTTAGGAAGCTCAGCCCCTTCGTAGACAAGAATGGGTTGCTGAGAGTGGGTGGATGTTTGTCTCTTGCCGAAATTCCAAAGGTTGAGAAAGGCTGGTATACCGTATATATACTCCGTTTTTGGTGGGATAATGGTTGAACTATGACATTATAGTTTTAGAGTCAGATTAGCTAGGATTCCATTTTCCTGTTTGTGTGTTTTTTCTGCATAGCAGTTGTTACATAAGTAGTGGCATAATAAATTATGCCAGACAGGGAGTGTTCTGCCCATATTGTTGAAAATAAATGTATGTAATATACTGTAATGTTATGTGATGTTGCTGCCATCTATTGGTTAGAGTTATTATGCCTAGTTATATCAGGATTTGTCAGGAAGTGGTCATTTTCACATAGAGGCAATAACCTCTAACCTGGAACTTCCTATCCTCCATTTCGTGACTGCTTCTGAAACTAGCAAGCAGCATACAGAGGAGCTCCAAGCAATTCCTGGACTTAGGATGGAATTGTCCGTGATGGGATGAAGCTGTTGTATAATGTTTAATGTACTGACACATATGTTTTGTTTGTGCTTATGTTGTAGTTTTACAAAGTTATTCAGAACAAAGAATACATACAGATCTGATGTCTCACGTTTCTTGACTTCTGAATTATTGTTAGACTGTCTGACTAGTGTTATACAACAGTTCAATAACGCAAAGCAGAACAACTGGGATTTTTATTCTTTTGCTATATAAATGAAAAAGTCCACAAATATTTTTAAAAAAGTGTTTTTCTTATATAATTTTGCAAATAAATAATCTTTCTCTTCATAAATCGTGGCCAAAATGTATTCAGCTATCTTTTTAGTAAAAACAAAATAACCCAAATTAGTTTATAACCAAAAATTATAATTTAAAAAAAAAATTTTTACATTTTTTTTTTTTATAATTTTATTTATGTTTGTTTTTTTAACATACTGTCACCCTAGCAGTACAGTGTCACCATAGTGACACTGTACTACTTGTGGGGGGTGATGAAGATTTTTTTTTTCTTTTTTTACACTGATTGCTTTTACACCCATAAAGGCTGTAAAAGCAATAATTTCTCCTTCTCTCTGGCTGCATTCTTACAGCCATTAAGAAATACTGTGAGAGCTGTGATTGGTCACAGCTTGTCACATGGTGCAAGGCTGCTGTGAATAGGCTTGTACCATGTGACCGCTGTGATCATTCACAGATTTCACGCATAGTAAGCAATGATGTCAGGAAGTGACATCTTGTTTACTACTGCTCATGTGATCACTGATTGGCCAATTAGTGATCACATGAATCAGGACCTCACACAGAGGTCCCGTACTGCAATCGGTGTTCCGCTGTATCACAGGGAGCGTGCACAGGCAGTGAATGCGGGTGACGTTTAGAAATGTCGACCTGCTTTGGCAGTGCTCCTATCTGGCCGTTTATAGACATGGTCCGGACAGGAAGTGGTTAAGCACGAACAAAAAAAAAATTGCTAAAAACATAACCAGGGGCGGACTGACCATTTGGAAACTCGGCACTGCCCGAGGGCCCGGGGTCAGTAGGGGGCCCCATGAGATGCCCCTGGTACCTTTTTCATAGGCTTTTTTGAGTTTGGGCAAGGACACGGGCCCCATGATCCCCTATTGGCCGGGGGCCCCATGAGTTGTCAGTCCGCCCCTGAACATAACATCTTCTTATTTAAAGTATAACTAAAGGCAACACTTTTTTTTAGTGTTGGATGAAGTGAGGAGTGATTAGAACCCCTGTCCGTTTATATAACTGTCTGTGCCCCTCTTAAGGAGATTAACCTTCTCTATTTGTCCTGTTCACCATTATCATTGAAAGTGAAAGTAAAATAAAACTCAAAATTTTGGGCTGTCCCCAGAAAAGTAATAGAGGGAAAATCTTTCAATGGGGACACTAGGTCTGGTGACCTGGGGGTCCCCAAGGGATTCCCTTAATTTGCAGGGATTTCTGCTCACTTCCTGTTTGGTTATGGGAGAGGAAGTGAAGAGAAATCTCTGAAATGGGAGACAGATGGCGAAAAAAATCTGACGGGGGTTATAACCCCTCTTATTCTATCCAAAATTAAAAAAAAAGTTTTAGTTCCACTTTAATTTATTTTGTTTAAAGAAATAGTGCAAAATCATCGCACAAAGTGTGTTTGTAATCAGTGCATTGTTCCCACCTGAGCATAAGGCTCCATGTACACTGCAGCTGATAAATTCAAGTTTAGGAGGTTTTCTGCAGCCCCTGAACTGTCCCTAATGTTTTTCTATGTGTCCATGTACACATTGGCATTTACAGTCGTTTTACAGGCAGTTGAGTTTGCAGTAATTTTTTGAATGCACCAAACTTGCGTTCAGGAGTAGATTTTATCAGCGTTTCAAACACCAAATGCTTGTAAATGCGGCTAGACGTGGCTAACCACGTTTATAACCGTTTGCATTTGTTAAATTTTTGTAACTCTTCCATTTCCAGATGCTGTCCAGAGTCTTTTTTTTCATCATGAAAAATGCATGCAAAGTGTTTTCCTGGTATTCAAATGGACCTGGTACACCATACTTTGATGTCTTGCATGAAAGAAAATATGTTATACACTGCTGCAATCATTTCTGCACAGAAATGAGCTGGAACACATCCAAACACCACAAAAAAAGCTATTCTCAACAAATACTGCCCTCTCTGCTTCTGCTCTCTATTTCTCTCAAAATGTCTGAAATAGTTAAGTTTTTACTGTTTTTCAGTGCATTCTGGGCATTTTTGGAAGTTCTCCTGAGGTTTTCTTTAAAAAAACGCTTCTAAACGCAAATGCTCATAAACGCAGTATGCAAACTCGGCTCAACAGACATTTTTTAATCTACTTTTTCCAGCAGTCAGTGTCCCGTGTACATGGAGCCTAATATTTAAAGGATAAGTTCACATTTAAAAAAAAACATTATAAAGGCAAGTCTTTTTGCAGGTAAAAAAATGTGCATTTATTATTTTTTTTACTTGCAGCCTGTAAAGCATGGCACCTGCGATCGCAGGTGCCATGCAGGACTGCTGCAGACTTGTCAGTGTATCTGTGTGCTTGCACCTCCTACTGGCAGGCAAATTCACACTGACAGGGAGAGAGAACAAATTACCACAGCGCTCAACAATGCCATGGTAGTTCATTGAGAACTACAAGCTGACATCTGCAAAGGCTGTCAGGACTTGTAGTTTCACTAATTCACAGAATACTGTGAATGGATGATGTTGCTGGATGGGTGGAATGTTTTTTTCAGATTGTGATAGCTAGCAGGGTGGAGAAGATCCCCTATTAGCTGTCACAATGGGGGATCGGGAGGTAACGTGTTGCAAAAGGTGAACTTAAGTCCTCATGCACACTGGAGGTTTTGGTTAGCTGTGTAAAGTCACTTATTTTAGCGTTTTTGCATTAGCGTTTTCCGTTTTCTGTTTTTTAGTGTTTTTTTTAACCAAGTAAAAAATTTTTCTTTCTGAAAAAAAATCCAAAAACGCCGGTTTGCGGCATTTTACCGCATTTTGCCACAATTTTCAGCATTAGAGCGTTTTTACAGCTAAAAAACTCCTCTAGAAACCCACTAGTTCTGGGTTTTTTTTCCAGCCAAAAAACATCCCTGCCAAATAACGTTGATTACAGCAGGGCTTGAAAATTCCACTCGCCCACTCACCAAATGCAAGGGGAAATTCATTTCTGGAAAGCACAGTAATGCCCTGCACATTTATTGATGAAGTAGGGTGGCTTGCAATGCAATCCCCAGGCCCCGGGGATCGATTTGCGTTCCACTTGCGCTCCAAGCCTCATTTTGAAGCCGACTTATGGTTTCCGGCTTCTTCTTTGGCACTGCCATTACACTGGCAGCGCCACTGAGGGGACAGGTGCAGGAGAGGTCCGCTCTCCTCCACTGAGGGAGACACGAGGAGAGGCCTGATCTCCACCGCCGTGGGGGACACAAGGAGAGGCCTGCTCTCCACCGCCATGGAGAAAAATTTAATTTCATAAGCTTTAAAGGGGCGTGGTTGGGGGCAGGGCTGGGGGCGTGGTTGGGGAGATGGGCCTGGGGTGGGGGGTGGAGGCGGACCTGGGCAAGGTTTGGTGGGGCAGCTGATGGAGAGTAAGGTTTTTGCCTGGCTAGTAGGTCTAGACTTGAAATTTTAAGCCCTGGATTACAGTCTATGTGTGCATGGACACATAGGATAACATGCTGGGGGGTTTACTGGCTGTAGAAAAAAACGCCAAAAGCCAAAAACAGCCGCTGTAAAAAACGTGAAGTGTGCATGAGGACTAAGGCTGCTTTCACAGTTTTTGAAGCGCATTAGAATTAAGAAAAAGTGCCTGTAAAGCTCAAGAAAAATGCTTTTCTATGTATGTCTATGTATGTTTTCACACTGGGGCATTGCGCTTCCATTGTGGTGTAAAAAATCCTGCTTGCCGCATTTTTGGAGTATGTTTGTTCAGTTAAAAAAAACACACCAAAAACACTTCTTTCCATTGAAATCAATGAAAAATGCCCCAAAAACACATCTGAGAAGCGTTTAAGGTGCAGTTTTTGAGTCACACTGCAAGCACGGTAGAAACACAGCAAAAACGCATATGCGTTTTTTTCGGTGGATCAGTGTGAAAGTGCCCTTAACCTGTACTACTATTGTAATTCATTTAGCTAATTTAACTATAAAGTCATTACTATGAATAAGCAACATTAAGGCCCCTTTCCACTTATGCACTGAGGTACAGTCTGTGTGCTGCATTGTTGTGCTATATAAAATGGTACCACAATACAGTAAAATACTGTAGGTGCCAATGGGCCAAGAACCAGGGGTGGACTGACAACTCATGGGGCCCCGGGCAATAGGGGATCATGGGGCCCCTGTGTCCTTGCCCAAACTAAAAAAAAAACCTATGAAAAAGGTACCAGGGGCATCTCATGGGGCCCCCTACTGACCCCAGGCCCTCGGGCAGTGCCTGAGTTTCCAAATGGTCAGTCCGCCCCTGCCAAGAATCACTCTGCACTGTATTAAACATTTTTTAAAAAAGGTTTAGGTTCAGTTTTAATTTTGTTGTTGTGCTTTTGCTGCCTGAAACAATCATGAATCAGCTGAAGTATGCAATAAATATATTACACATTATTTTATGTTAGAACTGAGAAAGGCAGTTCACATACATTGGTTCATTTAAAGTGATATTTTATTTATTATTCACTTTGAATAATTTTTTTTTTTTTTACAGTGCTACTTGCTTACTTACCACCTTTCTATCATCACATTTTATATATAGTTTTGCAGGATTCAAACGGTCAGTTCCTTTTTATGTTATTCAACGACTTGCCCTCCTGAGGATTCCCCCCCCCCCCCTTCCTGACCAGGCCATTTTTGTGTTACGACACTGCGTTACTTTAACTGACAATTGCGCGGTCATGCAGTGCTGCACCTAGATGAAATTTATGTTCTTTTTTTCCACAAATTGAGTTTTCTTTTGGTGGTATTTGATCACCTGCGCGGTTTTTATTTTTTGCGCTATAAAAATAAAAGCCTGGAAATTTTGAGAGAAAAAATATATTTTTTGACTTTTTGCTATCAAACATGTCCAGTAAAAAAATTTTTAAAAATCTAATTTTGTCATAAATTTAGGCCAAAATGTATTCTGCTACATGTCTTTGCTAAAAAAAAATCCCAATACATGTATAGTAATTGGTTTATATGAAAGTTATAGCATTTACAAATGGCGATATAGCTACTGTGATTTTTTTTTTATTATTATTTTTACTAGTAATGGTGGTGATCAGCGACTTATAGCAGGACTGCGACAGGCATTCTGTCACTGGGGGGCAACTGACTTGGTGTCACAGACATCCCAAGTGACACCAATACTGTGGTAAATGCTAAAAAAAAGCACTGACACTGCACTAATGGTACTGGGCAGGAACGGGTTAACTGCTTCCCAACCACCCTATAGCAGAAATTCTGCTACAGGGCAGCACAGGTGTGCAAAATCACATATTAATACGTGATTTTGCATTTCCAAATAGGGGGCTACCCAAACACACCATTCACGGCTGCGGCTGTCAATCCCCGGGTCCCAGCCAGTGATTACTCTCCGATGGGGAGGAGAACTGTTTTGTTCACTAACAGTTCTCCTCCCTTTCAGCTCGGGCACACTGCTTTGGATGGCTGTGCACAGCACAGCCATCCAAAGCAGTGTGCTTACAGTGAAGCACACAGACACTGCCCCACAGTAAAACACACCCAGCACACAGTTAACCCTTGGATCACCCCTCATGTTAATATAGAAATATAACCAAGCCAAGTCACAGATGTGTATATAGGCAATGCATGCTGAATGTACACTCTCCTGTTACTGTAGCCGTTTGTGTGAGGCATGGCTCGTTGCCTATGGCTGGTTGCATGGTTGCATGCATAAGCTTGAGTGTGCACATGTTGGTATGCATTTAGCATGAGCCAACGCAT